GAAACCTCCCCAGGAGAACGTCGAAACAACTCGCCCTTTTAACAAGCGGGAATTTCGACGTCGGAAAGGAACGGGAGGAGGAAAAATTGGCGAAGCTGTTTTAGAGAATTTTCATCGCTGTCCCCCTCGTCCGCGTCGTTTCGCGTTTCGAATTCCAGTGTAACAGCGACTATATTGCATATTTTATCGGGACAGAATTTCTGACAAGACGAAGTGGGAAGAAACAAAAGGGGATGAAGAGAAATCTGTGTCTTTAACTCTGTGTTTATCTGGCGAATTTTTAGATTTTTTATTTTCTGTTTGCGTTTTATCGGTGTATGAAATCATTCTCGTTGGTGGATCTGAGGATAAGGAGAACTTAAAGTTGACGAGATACATCGAGCCTCTTTGAATTATTTTCGTCATTAATCCGGTTGGCCAAGTAAATGCTAAGCAAATTGGGATAATTAAGTTAACAACGGTGTAAAGTGGAAATGACGAAGTTAATATCGGTAAAATTTACATTTGGTCTCTCGTATTGGCGGTAATTTCGTACGATTAAATCAGACGAATGAAAAGTTTGGACAAGTTTTAAAGTAGTATAGTTGCAATAAAATAAATGTTGTAGCAATACTCGACTCGTTCAGCCAAGCTTTCCTTAAACGCTGCTTGTAAGTTCTTTAAACCCGTTTCGCTCACGAACTTTCGGGCAAAGTTTCGCTTCACTCGTTACTCAGTCTAAAACTTCCCTCTCACTACGCACTGTACACGCTAAAGAACACTCATCCCTGTACCTGCCACTCAACTGTTCTAACGTACGCACGCGTTTCCCCGAATCCTAACTTTCGAAGTAACGCAATCGTATTTCGCTCCCTCTTCGCTGTGTTAAGAACAACTTTGTCATATTTGCAAGTAACATTTTGAAAACGAAGGAAAAAAGTCAGAATTCACTATTTCGATCTGTGAAATTTAGCAGAATTGGAAAATACAATGTAATTTCTTTGAAAATTGCGGCAAAAATCTTTTGAGAAAAAGGATCGATAATTTTCAATTTTCAAGAAAGGAAAATATTTTCTGTAGTGCTTATTTGAGTTCTGAAATTACAGTGTAAGAAGGTTCGAGCATTCCCATAATTTCGCATTGCAACGTAATTTCTTTGAAAATTAAAGTGCAAATGTTTCAACAAAAAGAGTAATTACCAATTTGAAATTTCCAAGAGAAGAAAATATCTTCTGCACAGCTGGTTTATTTCTCTAATTAAGGTGCAAAAAGGTTTCGAAAGGAATCTATAGAAATCAAAGAACGAATAATGTATCTGTGAACCAGTAATTAATCGAATTCGCAATCGAACTTTTTCTCCCGATCCTCTGGCCCACCTAAAGCGACTGTGGCCACTTATGTGGGTTTTTCAACGCGTGTAACTCTGCTCCCTGGTCTTTTTCTAAGTGACTTCTTGTCAACTGGAATTCATACGGTTACTCCAACGATTACAAAGTCAAAAGCAGAAATTTCCGAACCACGAGGTTTGTGATCGATCGTTTTGCACTGTGAAGTCGTGTGGGTGGCGATCGCTCTTCTCACGTGAAAGTTCTCGACGGTAACAGTATGATGGAACTATAATGTGGAATTAATTCGGCTATGAATAGAAAACGCGTGACTTGATCCTTGGTTGAAAACTACTTGTCGGAAAATTCTACTCGACAGGAAGCAAACGAGTGAACGAATTTTAATAAAAAAAAAATCAGAATATACCGAATTTATTACTTTACGATATCTTCGATATCATTATCTCGCAACAATTAAACACTAAATTCACGTAGGTCACCTGCTTTGCATAAGCGGCAGTAATTTGTCAATCGCCGCGCTTCCGGTTGCACAACGAGGTCGCGAAAACAGGGAGCGTCGTTCAAATTGCTTCATAATTCATACCATCGACCATTTCGCGCTTAATTTTCCTCGCACCGAGCCATGAATCCTTCAAAAATCGAGAGAAAGAAAGCAGAGCAAAGGTGAACGAGAATGGACCGATCGTCGATTTCTACCGTCGATTTAATCGTCCACAAATGAGAAGTTAGGCCACCTGAAGAGGTAATAACACCTGCTGCTGCGTGCGTACGCACTCGAGAAGAACGCTTTCTCGAACGGGATCAACACTCAAACGTGACGTCGCTTCTAGACGCTAAATCCTCGAATCGTTTTACTAACATCAAGCATCGAACGATGACGCAAAGGCGAGAGAGCAATTCGTCTTTATTCGACGATACGCGAGCCGTTGGCGAAGCCTCGATCGAAGAACGAGTTCGAAGCTGGGAAAATTGTGGCTGGGCGTTTTACGAGCGTATTATTGGGAAGCAGGATTTCGAGGAGAATACGCGCAGTGGTAGTTTTCGAAATTTCCTTTTCCTTTTTTATCGGGGTGCTTTCACTTCTACCGTTGTATTAGCTATGATACTGCTTACTTTGGCAGGCAGTCAAAGAATTTTGTGTTACTTTAATTTTATGGAATTTATGGAATCGAGTGCAGTTTTTTTATTGCTACAGCAAAGAACGTACCTAGTGGAATATTATACGGAAGTTTTGAATTAGGTTTGTACGAAATTTTTTGAGTAGGTATTTTAGAGAGGGATGTATTGATTATTTGTGAATAGAACGTTTTGTTCTAATGCACGTTTTGCACGAGTATTCTATGATAATTGAATAGTCGACTGTTTGAAATTTGATTTAGCGGATTTGATAAGAGAACGCGTGCTTGCGTTTCGAGAGATAACTGATCCACGTGTGAGAAACACTAGGGGGACAACGTGACATCTGTGGATTTGGTTTTAATAATATGTTGTGAGTGATGGCGTGAATGTCGTGTGTCTGTTTTGAATTTGTGTGAACGATGTAGGATAGACGTGATATATGGCTGATACTCGAATCGATTCGAGATTGGGGAAACGGGCAGTGTCCTAGAGAGAAACAGCGAGTAAACAGTAAAACCGCGTTGTTAATGATAACAAAGAGTGCGAGAGCATATATGCGAGAAAGAATAAAAGAGCATTGATCAGGTTATTATTATTTCTTTTTATGTGCCTTTATCGTTATTGTGCAATTATTATTATAAAATATATTTGCATTAAACTTTCTGCCACGTGTTATTCACCCACAACATCTCCTTAGAATTGTGAATATCTTCTAAGGATTATTAAACTAGCCGGCACCATCGTGGATTTGTATAGATTTTCCCACAGTCGACTGGTTTCGACTGTTTATGTTCCGCGAAGTGTATTGAGAAACTTTTGGTTATTAGCTCATCTAGAATTTATGCAAAATATTCCATTCATTTCATAATTACACCTATTTACTATAATTGTGTTCAGTGGAAAAATTAACCCTTTCAATCTAATATTCGTTACAAACGTGATGATCGACAGATAAAAAAGAAATGATAAAAAAAGAATCAGTCGTGAATGGGATAATACTAAGATTCAAAGAAATTAGCTGGTTTTGTTTAAAAAAATGATTTCTCTAATCCACTCCTCGTTACCGTTTCCCATTTAACACGTTCCGCCAGTAGTATTTTTACACCTCTGACAAAACGAATTGTATCACTAATAATACCTCGGTGTATTATCCCACAGCAAAAACAGCGGAGAGAATCAAACTGCAATAAAAAGTACCGCAACGGCGGTGTGCAGCATTCGCGATAACTCATCCGTGGCTTGGTAAGTTTACCAACGACAAGGGTGGAACGCTTGCCAAGTGGCATTCAGCCGCGTCCCTTTCTTCACAGATAGCCGCGAACCGAAGTAAACGGGCGGCGAGAAGGTGTCGCGTATAATTAGCGCGATTCATATCCCGTTTATTGGGCGGCAGATGTAAGAATACACGGCTACACCCGCCTCGTCGTTTGGCCATCCGCCAGAGGACAATATATACGCGGAACGTCGATGCACATTTCGCGGCCACGGAAACGTGGAAAAGTGTCGCGCGAACAAAGCGTTCGTGAAACGGTGCATCCGCGATTTCAGCTTCGTTTCACGCGGACCAGCCCCAGCTGACGCGCTTCAATTTCACCAACAATTCTCCCGAGATCGTGGAACTTTTTTTCTCTCCCTCCAGTTGAAATCGTTTAGCGATTGTGATCCAGATAGATTGTTCATTTCCCTTTGTTTTTCTTCCTTCTCTTTTCTTTTCGCCCCTCCCTTTCGTTTAGCTTTTGTTGTTCTCTAAAGGAGAACCGATTTTTCTCCGCGAAATTGAATTTTTCGCGAAATTGTGTCCTCCAGCGACGATTATGCACGCTTCACGCGCACTGAATGCCGAATGAAACCCGAGGAAAAATCGATGTCAACACGGCACCGTCGTCTGTCTCATCGATCGCTTCGTTACGCAAACGTGTAGTTGATCAAATTCGACGACTAGACGTGTGCGCGAATGGTTTATTCGAAACTCGGTGGTAGATTGGTGCTTGTACATTTTCCTGTTTCAACACGAGGTACAAATACGTGTCGTGTCGTGCTTGAATGGCGACTGAGTGCGTTTAGAGCTGTGCACAGAAGTGCGCTTGTTACGAGCACTTAATTTGTAAATACGATTGTACATGGATGTGAGTGTTATTGATATTGAAAATTCAACGTATCGGAAAATACAGGGTGTTTCGAAAGTGTGGGACCAAATTGATAAACAATTTTATACGAATCGATTTTCGAAAATGACACAAAATTAGAGTCTCATTGTTCATTAAGCAACCGTTTAGTAATCTTCAATCACGACCTCCTCAATCTCTTTCACACTGAAATTACCTGTGATGAGCAACCTGCATCTCACTGAAGCTGTCTTACAGACTTATATACTTCAATCAGCTAAAGTGAAAAATTTTTACGTTTATCACAATACGTATAAAATAATTCTCAAACAGACCATATGATTACACTACAGACAAAACAATAAAACCAATAACATCAGCAATATTAAATTTCCGCTGCAGCCAAACCAAACCAACCAAACCCTCAAAATCATTTTCCTATTCAACTAACCTGTCTCAAAGTACATATGGAAGCCAAACTTATCAGCCACCTGATGCAGAAAGACACCGCTCGACTCGTGCATTCCGTGAGACAACATCTGCACCAGCACCCCCACGAACACCACGACCCAGCCCCAGCCTCCCTCCGGATAGTAGTGCTGTTTCAACGTGTGCAGTTGCTTCAGATCAGCCACCAATTGTCTGGTGTTATGGGGGTGACCCGCGACGGCCGTTTGCTCGTTTCCGCTGCAAGCTACCCCGCTGTCGTGCACCGACAATCGCGGCAAAGACCTGCTGTGATAGAGCAAAGAGGCAACGGGGGTCTCTTGCCTCGACTCGCGTCCATTCGCGTGGTTCTCCTCGTACACAAGCCCCTCGCAGTCCAAATTTCCGGAGTATTTATGCAGATAGGTTCTCTCGTACGATAGGTTCGGTTCTCCGCAGCTTTCACACTTCCCCGAAGCGACGTGTTTCCTCGGTTTACGAACGGGCGTCGCGTCGCTCGAGGATCGAGGTTCGCTGACAGGAGGACTCTCTTGACTCGTCGATGATCGAGTTTTCTTGCTCTCCGCGACGTCCTCGCGTCGCTTTACGGTCGACCTAGCCGCACAGTCTCCCGGAGAATCGGCAAGTTTACGAGGTGATTCCGTTCGAGAGCTGGCTGAACCTTCAACCGAACCCTCCGTCGTATCGACGATCAGATTCGCGTGATTCCGTGGTCCGTGCCGCGGTGAAACTTCTCGTTGATCCTTTTTCCCGCTGTTGGAATTACGTTGCTTTCCGGAACCCATTAATTTATGGATGACCCTGGTAGAGATCGGTGCTTGGTTGTTCTCCAACTTCTTGCTCAGCTCCGAGTTCTTCTGTTCTTTAATCTGTATCGAGTTATCGACCCTAAAGTCCACGTTCAGACGCTTCTGACCAGGGGAGAGATCGTATGCGTCATCCAGCCGAGTTTTCCGATCTGTGATCTCCGAGTCGAGACTTTTCGACTGGTCAGCTAGTTCCCTTTTCCTCCAGTTCTTAGTTGTTTTATCTTGGCCAAGTAACGATTTCTTTCTACCGTCGTGAACTGTCGAATTGGAACCGTAGACGTTTTTACTCGATCTCTTGCAAGGATCCTCGGTGACGATCAGCCTTCCCATTCTGTCATCTTCGCTGATTACAGCACGTGGTTCTAGCGAATCCTCCTTGTCAGTCTTTCGTTGCTTGTCGACGTCGCCGGTGACACTTGAATCCTCCGATACCGGAGACTCACAGTGGATCGATGATTCGTTGACCGTCGTTCGATCCTCGTCGATGTTCAGATCGACGCGAGAGGCAGCCATTATCCGACTCTCTCAGGCCTCCTCGAATCCGCGTCTTCGTCGTCTTCTCCGTCTTCGTCGTTGGTCCTCTGCCTCTTCCGTCTCTTCCATTTCCCTTCTACCAGACGATCCTTGCTTCCTTACTTGCTGTTTCAAGTCTGGATTAAATCGCGACGATCGAACGGAAGATAACTCAAAATTGACTTGGAAAATGACATCTCGAGGATCTTAAGAAGCTACACATTTCGTACCGTTCACTATAACAAATTTCTGTTATCATACTTCAGCCACCCTCATTTGACAATTCTGTTTATCATATCGTACACCATTGAAGCTTCCCAGTAACAACGAAAACCGCGAAACGTCATTTTTCGCATGGAACACGTTGACTGAAATAATCGACAGGTGTGCACAATTTTCCTGCAGAATTTCACTGTGGTAGGAGTAAGAAGAGTGTGCTCGACCGGTTCGTAATTTCGGTGGCAAGTGTGTGTTGTTGCAGAGAAACTGTGTGATTCGGGGCACCAGGTATCTCGTTGCCGATCTAAGGCTGTCGAGGACACGAGTCGCAGAAGGAAGCGACCGAGCGCGGCACGCTCAGCACGCAAACTGGCCGGAGAACCCGCGTTAGCCAAGAATCGTGCGGCTGTCTGTGCGGCCACGCTCGACAGCTGCGCTTCTGGAGCCGAAGCCGGAGGAATCCCTCTCTCTTTTTCTAAACCCCCCCTACGCGACGGTTGTTCCAGACACTTTGTGTGTTCACGGAATGTTCAGGTAGCAGCCCGTTGTTCCTTCCGTGGCAAAAGCCACGCAAACGAGAAATGTTGCTTTAAATTGGCTCGTTGCATAAGCGACGTTTGTCCCGACTCGGCTGCCGGATCAGAGACGGGGATGTAATTATTTCTGGGAAGTCTCGAGGAAGTCAGCCCCGGTTTTTGCAAAATTAAGGCGTACAGGGTGTCTCGGTTGCGACGAAAATCTAAATTACCTGCGTTGTTGTTGAATGTGAGAAAAAATAATTGTATAGTTCGTATAATTTGAGGACGAGTCGATCGATCAAAGTCCTAAGGTCATCGACATTTCTTTTTAATCGTTTAGGATCACTTCGTGATCAATATCGTAGGTCGTTGAACTGATCTCGATATTAGGTATTGAAAGCAGGCGTTAATGAGTAAACAAAGATCGATAAGTTTGGAATGATTTTCCGTATAAATTCCTCTTCGTCATTTTTATTAACGAAATGGAATAACTGAGGTAAGAAGAATTTTCCGTCAACATCTGTTAAATAGCTATTTTGTGGTAATTTATTATTTTTAAATTTAATTTTCATTTAGTTCATTCTGTGATATTTAGTCCGTTTGGTAATCAAATTGACGGAACGACGGTCTTCTTTATTAAGAAAGTGCGTTTAAAGTTGTGGTAGATGCTTCCCAAAGATACCTAGTGGGGAAAAGTTGCTTGTTCAGCTTGATGCATTCTTCCCACGTAGCTGTATTCGATTAAGATTCTTCATTAGTTGATATACCTCCCTGCAGTACGGTTCCTCGGAAGATTATAAAGTAGCTCGGGAACATGTTTCGGGCACATTGTACGCTCGAAACATGTTATCGACGTTTAAATTTCACCTCGAGAAAAAAGAAACTAGACGACAGGTCGTTACAACCAACTTGTACTCCAAATAAAATATAACAAGATTTATTTATTATTAATAAGAAGCAATTTCCTCTCGCGTGATTTACATGCAGAAAAGTTGTTCGTTACAAGAAAAAGCTATAATTAAAATACCTCGTAGGAGAAGAAAATTAATCATCCAACCTAGAAACAGGTTTCAATTCGTTCGTTTAAAATTCCCGCCACTCCTTAACAAGACGAGGTACACAAAATTCGAGCGGAATATTTAAATAAATGCCACCCTCGACGTTCTCTCCCCCTAGCACAGCTCGCAATTTCTATAATTTCCTGCAATTTCTCACGGGCGAGGCTCGCCTAAAACGAAACACTTGTTCCACCCAGACGCTGAGAAGAAGAAGAAGAAGATCTCTCCCTGCCGAAACTCTCGAAAACGTCTTGAATTTAATCTGGCCATGCCTCGGACTTCTCCCGGAGATCGCGAGTAATTTTGTCAGGCTGAGAATAAAAAAACCGGGATCGGCCGCGATGATCCTAACTTTTTCATTTGTGCCGGAAAGCCCTTTCGCCTTCGCTTCGCGGCGCGCTTTCACCCCTTATACCCTAAATCCCTGTCCATTGTACCCGTTCATCTCTCCCCGCGTTATTTCACCACGCGAACTGTGTGCGTTCACGCGAAATACATACCTGTACAGGGGATTCGTGAACGACGAGCATTTACCTTTCAACGTACGACGTGTATCATCAGCGGGCATTAAACGAACGCCTTTATCACGCGATTTGGCCCGTAAACACAGCGTAAATTCCGTATTCTCGTTGTACAGATCGACACGTTAACGTGTTCGTGGTTAATAGACACTGGTGGGACGATGTAATTCCAGCACTTTTTACACGGACTTGTTGACTACGTAATTTTTAATGTTATTTCGTGGAAGCTAGGAAAAATTGAGTTTACTGCGAGCGTAAATGTATGCTGATGATATAGTAGGGGTTAGTTATGGAGTCGAATATGGTAATAAGGGTTGAATTACTTTGACGATATTGTGGGTTGCAGTGAGTGTTACTTTTATGGTTTATAATGAGCGTTATTAATTATTAATAGGTCTGGGAAGTACAGGGTATGAAAGTAGAGTATGATTGTTAGAGACGATATTAGTAAAATATGTGGAATTATGTTTTTTTTTAGAAAATCAATTTTGAAAATTTGCTACTGCTCTGTTGTTACTATTTATTTTTATCAGTGTTAGTACTTGCGAATAATGATAGTGGTATGGTTCAGAAAATTCATCTTGCTCACCCTTTTTTGCATAATATCACAAATTTAAATCTAAACTTAGGTAACTATACTCAGGTAATTTCCGAATGGTGATTCAATCGAAAATGTTTTTAAACTTTTTCATTAAAAAGTGATACCTAAACTTATGCACTTATGCTCAAGTGATTCTCAGATTTCATTTCTTCCTAAATCTTTTTAAACATTTTTTTCGAAGCATCGAATTTGGGTGGCATATAATAAATATCCACATTAAAACGATCAATCAACAGATAGCACGATAAACTTGATTCCTTGAGATATACAATATCTGCATCCTGTAATTAACGCTGTTTGGATCGTGTGCACGCTGTCAGGTCTCTGAACGTGGTATTCATTTCCATCGACGAATCTGTCTGGAGCAGTATCTAGGATTAAACGTCGATATAATATCAGGGTCAGGCAGGCCCGAATCGCTCGATCAATGTTGAACCGAATCGTGTGCTACGTCGAGAAAAGAACCGGCTGTGAGCTATTAAACGTCAAGATGACGTGTTCGGCAAAGTGATAATGCGTGCAAGAAATTGCTCCAGATCTCTGTTATGGGTTTTAGATTGTTACATTAGCTGTAAAGCGATACGATCGTTTCAGTTTTATTTACGGGTTTATATCTTTCCGATGAAGATGATGATTAATATCGATCCATTGATCAAATTTCGAAAGTAACGCAATAAGGTTGAAATTTGAAAATTTTTTTTAATTTTTGTTTCAATTATACTTGGAGTTATTGTTGCTCAGCAAGATAAGATAATTTCTTTTTCTTATTACGACTATTTAGATATTGTAAAATTAATTAGAATGAAGTTAGTATTTTTTTTCAGATCTTTGTTATATAGAGTATTTGAGAAAAGTTTGGATATTCAACATAGTTTTCTTGGAGCAAATATTTTCCACGAGTGAAGCTTTCTATCTTTCTTCCTGTGAATAAATGTAACTTGTGCTGTTTTTCAGAGATCATGTTCCACTAAAAGATTGGCGAAGGGATTTCCTTAAATCAGAAAGAACACTAGGAAGTAGGAAAGTGTACTAAGGAAGCTACGTTAAGCTCGAACTTAAATACAACTCGTCAGTATAGAAAAGAGGCGATTTATTCTAGATCACAGATGAGGATAGATCTAACATTTTAAGATCGAGAGAGCCCTTACCATTTTCGTGTCGATTCCAACGTTACCGATTCAGCATAGATTAAGAGTGCAACATTAGTCAGTAATTAGAATTAGAATTAAACGTAATTTCATAGTTACGTTTAATTCTAATTATTAATTCTGATTTTTTAACAATTTAACGTTTAATATGTCAATAATTGTGCTAAGTTTGAAAAAAATCTATAACATTGTGGCAGAAAGTGTCTAATTTGACATGGAATGTTTCGTACCTAGGATTCCCGAAAAGAGAACTGCCGCGCCAACCGAATAGTTCCGAGCGTTGTCGAACACTTCCGACCGTTCTAAAACGCAGTGAGAGTCGTGTGCAAGACGAACGTTTATATTCAAAGCAATTATGTTTCAACAAGTTCAAAGTGAATACAAGTGATATCGAGAAGTGTGTATCGTTGATTTATTCTGTAATTTGGTGTTTTACGTTGATGGAATGTCGAGTTCTTAACAGCAGAAATTGACGTATTACGAAACGTCTGAACGTCTCTTAACTGCCAAACACTTCGAACAATATGTTTAGTGTGACAATAGAGACCTTTTAGAGGCTAAAAGTAATTACTGCGTAATTTGTGACAGAATCAGCAAATTGAAAAGTGGACATTAATTGTGTTCGTGATTATTGGGTTTCTGAGCAACTAAACTGCAGTGCTTTGTGGTATCTGGACGATTAATTTATTTCGAAATCCTCTGAATTTTGAAGTTTTGCCGCCAAGAAAGAGAGAAGCAGCATATTGGTGTACGTGAAATAGAAATTATAACGTATCCATTTATTATCAAGAAAAATGAAACGGGATTAAAGTATAATTAACGTCAGAATATTATATAATATTTGAAAATTTCGAATACGCGCGCTGGTAGTGGGGTTACCCCCACTCCTCCCGTTGCCTAGCAACGACACTTGCAGATTCAACAGTTTCTTCTGG